AGAGAGAGATATCAAAGCGTTGACTTTGTCTCAAGATCGTGCATGCTTCTTGTCCTCTTCCTGGCTTTTTTCAAATAGATCCTGTGGAGGTTGAGGTGGCTGACTTGGTCGGGATCGCTTTCGGAGGTTGTCTTATCCCAGGATGATCTTCAATATCGTCTCATCCTTTCTTTCATATACGCCGAATGGCATTCGCGCTCTTTTTTGGCTTGATTCGCGGTTGGTGTTGCTGAACCTGCAAATCCCGCATTTGCTGGCATGTCAACTCCATCTCAGTCTTGAACTCAGCTCTGATTTCTTCGGGCGTTGTTATAGCCAATTGCTTCTTTGCAGCATGTGAGCCAATTGGTCGGTAATTGCAAATGAATTCTCGATGGCTTGTCCAAGCATGGAATGCGGATCGTCCGATGCAAGTGGCCTGAAACAAGTATACTGACATTTCTTCATGCTGAAGATAGCCCTCGGCATTTTCCCCTAGTAAGTCTCGTCGTAGGTTGCTCTTCTTTGTAACGGCTGGCCATCCTTATGAGAAAGACCCCCGCTCAACTCTCCCCCGCTGGAGAGAAATCAGGGTCGGGATTGACTGATTTTGCTTCGCCTTTGTTGTCATATTAATATGACCTCAGGGAATCATCTTTGTCGGACTGGCCGGTTTTTTCTTGTTGAAACGTCTCATCTTGGGTCTTGACGTTTCACTTGAAGAAGTCTTTGAAAATACCGGAGACTCTTGTTTGAAATTCGCTTTTAGAGCATGCCCATTCTGTCAGCACTGCGGCTTGATGAGTCTCTCACAGGACGCAGTGAGACTCGTTTTTGTAAACAACTCTTTTTCTTGAGTTATTTTTGCTGATAGTCAGCTCATCGTTGTTACGATTGACATATATCTCTTTCTACTGAAACCTTGGTTAACAGTACGCCAGGTACGACTTGTTGTCGCTTCTGAGGCGATCCAAGGTTGGATTTTTAAATCCACCCCCTTAGCGGGATATGGTGTCATCATCGGTCCTCGACGAGAATGAACTGGTATCTCTCGTTCTGGACTTGTGCTAGTTCTGAACAGAGGATGTTTACGACTCACCCCTGTATAAGAAACCACTAAGGGTTTATTTCTGGGTTTGACTGCGCTCTTTGGTTGGGGCTTTGCCTGATATCAAATGCCAAACTAAGGAGATCTAACTTCTGTGAGTTTGACTTTCAATATGTCCGGCTTGTCCTGAATCTTCACTGGTGACGCAGCAGACGGCTTGGGACGGATGCTGAAGGATTGAAATGGGTCTTCATTGACCTTCCTCTTTGGCCGCGGCCAGCCATAACTGTCGTGCGGTTTGTTTGATGGGCTGCGGCAGTATGGGCCCCCGGCGGTTACTATGATGAGGCCGCCACGTACGTGCTGGCCGCGGTTATATGATGACCGGACAGTCTGTGGCTGGCCGCTTAACTACCTTCCTCTTATTCTTTGGGTGTTCTCCGTTTTTGCGGAACCAAAACTCATACAGTTCTTTTGTGGTTTGGCGCATCTACCACTTCCTTTTTTGTTTCCTGCACTTGTTGAGAGAAGGCCACAGAGCGTGAGCAGGCTTTTGCTTGACGCCATTTGTATACGGCTCCTTCAGGGTAACTCTTTTGTACAGAGTCCATGTCGCTCTGTCGTAAGCTGTGGCGGAGATGTGAATTTTGCCTTTTGGTGCTATCACTGAACTCCATTTTGATTCTGCGTTATATTTCTTCTTTTAGGTCCGTGTAATATGGACCCGTCGGTCTGTTGCATGGCGCTTAGCCAATTGACAGAGCGGCGGCGTTGCCGTTGTCTCTGACGAGCTCTGCTCTTTGTCTACGCGGAGCATGCTTGTTTAAGGACGCGCTTGAACTGGTGAAGGTCTTCGGAACCAGAGATGTCGGGCAGGTTGATTCTTTTGGGCAATGACTTGGCAAGAATCTCTAGGGGCCTGCGGTCTTCATTGGAATCTGAAGACCTCGGGAGGAACTTTCTTGGTGAAGAAATCCTCCCGCACTTGGCGGGGTGAGGAGGATTTTGATGACAGAGGTATGACATATACTCCTCGTATTTTGCTTGATGGAATTATATTCGATCTCTTCGGTGACGAATGATTGCTAATCGGCTGCGAACACGCGGCCTCTGGCAGCGAGGCCGCTGGCTCCCACTGTGGTCCGAGTTTGTTTTCAAGCGAAAGTTGTTTTCCATTGCAGATTCCTTAAAACTTCGATCGTTTACAAAAAGAATTATCAATGAAATAAAAGAAAATACAACCTTCGAGAAAATAACACCAGAAATTGTTTATCAATCCTGCTTTTGTGGGAATTTCCTGTGCCGGGAGACGCTTTAGTTCGTGACCACCGATTCGTTAGATCAGAGGTTGTTTAAGGATTCTCCTTCGTTTATCGAAGTAAAGATTGAAAACGAATATCTTATCCGATGTAAGATGTCCGTTTTCCAAAGATCAAGTTGAGCTTAGATCTCTAGGATTCACTCAAATATGTGCTGTCAGTAGGGTGAAAATTCTCTCTTTCTTTCTCATAAATCACCATAAGACTCAAGTATCTTCGGCTCCAGAAAAATGCCTCTCTGTGCTTTAATTCGTGCCTAGGGAGGTATTTATAGGGCTCTCAGTGCACCACAGTTGAAACGGAGGCGCGAAAATAGACTGACATGTCGTTTTCTCTTTGGCCGCTGCAGTCTACACTGCGCGGCTATTGCGGCGGGAGTGTAAGCTGCCGGCGGCCGGAAGAGGCAGTTATCAGCACGTTTGATCGTGCTTAAAAACCGCTCTCGCACGACTTTTAAGCGCACCTTTTTTTCGTGGTTTATACTGGCTTGTCCACGCAGCACACGTTCTGTTTCTGTATGCTGCACGTGGGCCTCAAAATCATCGATATAACTGTTTCGTAACTGCTGCAACACTCCTTTAACATAGCCGCGGCACCCTAGATTGCAGCGCCCAAGCCGCGACACGATCAAGTCTGCTGCAACACTCCTTTAACATAAGCCGCGGC